AACCCTAAACCCAAACCCCTAAACTCAAAACCCTAAAACCTAAACCCCTAAACCCTAAACCCTACGTTCATAAACCCAGAACCTGGATCCCTCATGGCTTAGGCGCAAACCCATAAAAACTCTAAATCTCAAATCCCCCTTTAGAACCCTTAAAGCCTTAAAGTTAAAGGAGCCCGTATAATACACGAACCCTAAACCCCAAAAGTAGCGGCCCTGAATTCTCCAGGCTTCACCAGCTAGAAAGGCTCGGACCCCGAGTCCAAAGCCTGGACCCGAAAGCCGAAAGCCGACACCCGAAAGCCGAACCCCTGAACCCTGAACCCTAAAGCCTAAACCCTAAACCCTAAACCTCGAACCCTGAACCCGAAAGCCTAAACCCAAAGCCTTCGGCAGATCTTCGATCAACGGGGCCAGGAAGATCAGGCCGGCGGCCACGACGGCGGCATTGGCGATGCCGCAGACCTCGCTTTTCAGGGTTTCTGGGTTTGGGGTTTAGGGCCAAACCCGAAAGTTCAGGGTTTAGAGTTTAGGGCTTCGGTTTTAGAGTTTAGGGCTTCGGGTTTGGAGTTTAGGGCTTCGGGTTTGGAGTTTAGGGTTGCGCGCGAGACCCTAAACCCTATTATTACCCCCAAGCACCAAACCCTACTACCCTGATCCCCAAACCCTACTAGCCTAAGCCCCAAACCCCAACATGCTAAAGCCCTAAACCCTGGAAACCGGAAACCCCCAAACGCCCCACCTGAGGGTTTCCAAAAATAGGGGACCCTAATATAGTTGTTTAAATAGTAGGAACCTTGTTATAAGGACCCTAAAATAAGGTCCCCCCCTGATTTTCGGAAGTGCCCCACCTGCATTTGAACCCCCAGCAAACCCTAAACCCTAAACCCCTGAAAACCCTGAAACCCAAAACCCGCAAGAGCCCCACCTGCGTCTGAACCCCCTTAAATAAGGAACATGTCTTCAATCATAGGAACCCTAAACCCTGAACCCTAAACCCTAAACCCTGAACCCAAAACCCTAAACCCTAAACCCTAAACCCTGAATCCAAAACCCTAAACCCTAAACCCTAAACCCCAAAACCCCCTAAAACGCCCCCCACCTGCGTCTGAACCCCCAGCTGCACGGCCAGGCCCGTTCTGCTCAAGGAGCCGCTGGGAGGAAAGGCGCCGAAGAAGGAGCCCACCACCCCCGAAGCACCCAAGGCAAAGAGCTCCTTCTGTTAGGGGAGTTGTTTTAGGGTTTAGGGTTTAGGGTTTAGGGAGTTTGGGGAGTTTTGGGGTTTAAGGGTTTAAGAATTGAGGGATTTGCGGAGATTTTAAAGGTATTGGTATATGTAATAAACCCTAAAACCCTTCAACCACTCTTCAATCCAGACCTCGAGAAGCCCTGTGGAACGGTTGATCCCTTTACGATCCCTGTCTTACCAGGTAAGGGTCGTTCTTTAACTTAGGGTCCCTGTTTAGGTCTTATAAAAAGGACCCCAAAAGGGATCCTAATTTAGAGAACTACCCATAGAGATCCCGTGTCCTGTCTGGCATCCAAAGCCTCGGGTATGAGGCGACCCCGGGTCCCAAATCAAGGTTTGTGTTTTTTTTTAGAGCCTTCAAAGTTAAGGGTCTTTAAGAATGTGCAGGGTCTTAGGGGTCGGGGTTTGCTTGAAAGCTGGGGTTTAGAGTTTACGGTTCATGGTCACCTGTTGGCTACATCTACACACTGGAGCGATTTGATACAGATTATGCGGCGTATTCATACTGGAGCTAAGTTGGGGCGAGTACTATCCCTACTTACTACATTTTGACTGAACCTGACACCCTGAACTCTACACATGCACACATTAGAAAGCAAATACAAGGAAGCTCCAACATGCACAAGAAGCGTAGTCACAGGCGATTGCTTGTCTCTTGAAGCTCGAATATGAAGTCAGAAATGCTGAGAAGGCCAGGACCAAGCCGCTGAAGAGAAAACTGTGCAGGACATCACTGGGCCCTTCCAACAGCTTTCGAGTAGCATCGAAATTCCAAGGCAGTTGACAAGGGGGCAAGCCTCGTGGAATGTGGCCTACAATAGGCACTGCAGCTACAGTGCCCTTCTGCGTGACTTTGACGAACACGATCCCGGCCACCACCACAATGATCTCTTTCACTTGAACCACGTAGCCCACCATTGCCCAAAAACTTGACAGCTTGGAGTTCTTCTTCGCAACTTTCTTCAGTCGCTTAGAGCACACCAGGAAGAGAATCAACGTCGAACAGAGGCCCACGTTGGCCCAGTTCGCCTGGTCCAACATGCGCAGGCATGCCCAAACCTTCCCGAAGGGGCCGGACTCGTGGGGGAATTCGGTATAGCCAAAAAAGTTTCTCAACTGCGACACGATAATCAAAACGGCTCCACCGGTGATGAATCCACTGAGCGTCGGTTGTGACAAAAATCGAACAGCTGATGCCAAGTCGAACATTCCCATCAAGATTTGACAGATACCTGCGACCAGGGCTAGAAGGGAGGCCAGCTCGGTGTGGTGCTCCTCAGGGAAGGGCTGCAGCACATTGGCGATGATCATGGCTACCATGGCTCCCGAAGAAACGGAGCCATGCTTAGAGGTTCCCAAGAGCGCGTAGACCACAGGTGGCAACAAAGCTGTGTGGGGCCCCTGGATCCTGGGCTGTCGTTGAATGTTCTTCACACATTCGACTTTCCCCTACCATAAACACTTAACTATAAAACTTATACATAGTTCTGTCTTTTATTCCCATAGTTATTATGAGCATGAGAAATCGCTCTGCCGAAATAACTTTCTCTACCAAAACCCTGAACCCTAAACCCTTGAAGCCCAGCGTCGGATTCGTCGTTGCGATCGTTGCGTGCGCGAGTGTCTGTGCCAGGCACATCGTTCCCAGGGTTAGGCCGCCGGTCACATCTGGCAGAAAGAAGCCTGGGAATCGGTTTAGGGTTTAGGGGTTTAGGGGTTGAGGGTTTAGGGTTGAGGGTTTTGGGTTTAGAGGTTTAGGGTTGAGGGTTTGTTCCGGGTCCAGGGGGTGAGAGGATATTAATTTGGAGCCTGGCACTACGTTCGGGGGTGGGGTTTGGTACTTTCCGCTAACCAGTACTTGGAGGATTACGGGACTTAGTAAGTAAGGTTATAAGTTATAAGTATCCTAATTGGGGTTATAAATATAGTTACCTTGTTTATAAACCTAGTTACTAAGTCCCATGATCCTCCAAGTAGATTCCCGCCGAGAGGCTTTTGTCATAGGATGGCAGCCAAGACAAGATCGGCAAACGAGCAAGAAGCACCTCCCGCCAGGTCTTTCCAGCTCCTCCCTCATCTGCCGAAAGGGCTTTGTAGCCAGCTCCCTTGGGCGAAACACTCATGATTTAAGAGATGCTTGAGCCTGACTCGTGAAGTCACCTGCGTTTCAAACGCCGGGGCCACGCGAATCAAAGCTATACCTACACTTAGCCTCGTGCTTCCTGAACGGCTTAGGGTTTGGAGTTTAGGATTTCGGGCATGTGTAAAAAAGGTCTTGAAACTAAATACCTAAGTTCTTCCACACCTGAAGCCGCAAGCGCGTCAAGCTCTGCACTCTGAGCGAACAAACCCACAGCTTCAAAACCAAATTCCAAGTCCTAAACCTGAGAGCCATAGAACCCCTGAGCCAGAGAGACCAAAACAGAAGAACCTAGCACGAAGCGGCAACAAAAACACAAAAAGGATGGCCTGGGATCTGAGGATTTAGGGTTTAAGGCTTAGGTTGAAAAGCTCACACACACACACAGAGAGACAAACAACAAATGGGAACACTCAAACGATGTCCAAAACCCTCTTGAGGAAAACCCCAGCAACACCCGACACTCTCCCCCCAAACACTAAATCCTAAAGCCTAAGTCAAGCAAAAACTCGACAGCCCGCCTGACTTCCGTTCACTAAAATCGCTCGACACCCTGACCGTACACCCCAAACCCGAAACCCATAAGCCCTAAACCCCAACCAAGCAAACCCAAGCCCAGAAGCCAGAAACCAACAAAAATAATAAAAACAACGATCCACGAATCCTTTCGCCACGGAATCCTGGCCCCCTACATTCAAACCCTAAAGCCTAACAGACCTTATAAACTCTAAACACTAAACAGCTAAAGCCCTAAACCTTAAACCCTAAAGCCCTACAAAGCCCTATACCCTCGGCCAAAAAAAAACAGAAGGACCCCAGGGGGCCTCGATGCCTTTGAGGAAGGGCATCTCGGCATCCTGGCATGCCACGAGGCCCTCCTCTGCCAGGGTCACCTGAGTTCCATGAGGGCGTTCAGGGTTTAGGGTTCAGGGTTTAGGGTGCAGGGCTTAGGGTGTTAAGAGGAGGGTCTTCTGTATAAGCAGCTTAACAGGCCACTGTGATTTCTATGGGGTGTTTAGAGTGGTCTCTACCGGCTCTTGTTCCAGGTATCGTGGCTATTTATTGTTTTTTGGACATAGGGTACTTGCAGTAGCGAGTTTTGTTAAGCGGCTCAAAACGCCCGTGTGTTTTAGGTGGGTTTTTGGACTATAAAGGTTTGATACGTCAATGTCTCTCGCGAGGTGTGTGATGCATGGCCTGGAGAACAGGACTTTAAGGTTGGGACTGTAGGGCTTGAAGGGTAATGTAGGGGCCTTAATAATTAGAATACAGTTTGGGGGTATATTATACTATACGTGTAGTAGAACACTCCCCCCCCCCCGCCCCCCAAACAAAAAAAATGTAATTTTAGGTAAGTATTCAGACCCCTATATCACGAACTTGAACCTTCAACGCTGAACCCTCTTCTTTCCTGCTTTGGTTCTTGGATACCATCAACACAAGCCTGGAATGAAAAAACGGTCCTCTGCATTTCCCGTGAAAGATGTCGCCGATTGTGAACAAAAGCTATTTCGCGACTCGGGGTTAACGTCTAGGGTGCATCTAAGGTTCAAGGTCTAAGGGTTTCAGGTTTCGTGGCAAGGGCTTACATCAGGCTGTTTTATGACGTCAGTCTACGTAAGTCGAACCCAGAAACTGCTTCGTATGGGGCTTATAGGGTTTAGGGTTGAGGGTGTATTCTCCGCGAGTATTTCGGTAAGAGCGCTGGACTTCTAAGAGTTTAGCGCGCCCTAACAGTCACAAGGCAGACGACCTAGCCCTGAACCCTAAACCCTAAACCATAAACCCTAAACCTTAAACCCCAGACCCTAAACCCTAACACTAAACCGAGCAACAGCAGAAGACCTAGCCCCTCGGATCTCTGGCGGCCACCTTCTCTGCAATCGTCGCGGCCATCTGAGCTGCAGAAATGCCTGACCCAGAGAGCCCAATACCCCTTAAAGAAGGAATATACCTTAAACCAAAATATTAAGGCCCTTATAACTTAGGGTATACTCCGTATCTAAGGGGTATTGGGCTCTCTGAGGAGGAGCGTTGAACTGCAACCTGAAGCCCGCGGTTTAGGGTTTAGGGGTTTAGGGGTTTAGGGTTTAGGGGTTTGGGGTTTGGGGTTTAAGGTTTTTGGGTTTAGGGTTTTGGGGTTTAGGGTTTAGGGTTTAAGGAAGCTACAGGTGGGGAGTTTAGGGTATATAGGGCTTCTATGAAGCTTCTATAAAGTATATAGCCCTTCTATAAGGCTTTGACGGTAACTACCCACCTGAAAAATGTCCTAGACTTTAGCAACTTTCCAGCCTAAGCGCTACACGAAAGCCCTACTAAGATTATAAGCCCCACTATACTAAACTCTGTGCAAACTGCAAACCCTAAGCCGAAGAGATCCACTGCGCAACAGCTGAGATGGATGGCTCATAAATTCCGAAACCCTAATCCGCCGAAACCCTAAGACCTCTGGTCCCCGACCCTATCACAGCGTATGTCCTGACCCACGAAAATCAGGGTTATAACCCTTAAATGATAAGTTCCATCACCAGAAAAATAGGGTAGAACACCTCCAGCAGCCGGTATAAAACCCAATAAGTAGAGGGTATAGACCCTAACACGGTATCACTCCGGGAACAACAGGTGAGCCTCGAAATTGACGATCCAGCCTTATAGAAGGGCTTTTCTACCTTATAGAAGCCTCATAGAAACCCTATATACCTCAAACTCCCCACCTGTAGCTTCCTTAAACCCTAAACCCTGAACCGCGAAGACCGTGCACCAAGCCCCTCAAAGAGCCTTGTCTCTGATTGCGCATGGTGGCGATGACAGTCTGGCGGCAGAGTTTTGGTCCATGGTTGGGGACCCTAAACTTAATTGTACTGGTAATGTAGAGGCCTTAATCTAATTTGAATTGACATAATTGACTTTGGGGGGCTCCTTCTTATAATTATAGTGTAGGCCGCTTAAGGGTTTAGGGTTTAGGTATCGGACCCTTATCGACTCGAACAGGCTTCCGGGCACATGGTTCTAGTTGTTACCAATTAAATGACTAGAACAGGCTTTCGAATACATGAGTTCAGTTGTTGCCAGTCATTTCCACCGCTATATTAGGGTCTTGAACTGCAGGTCCGCTGCGAGAAAATGGCTTATGGTAGTTTACGGCAGATGCCAAAACAAAAGATAGCGGACATGTTCGTTTCTGCCATCAATGAGCAGCAAGTTGAGACTTAACTCCAAAAAACCGTAAACCCTACACCCTAAACTACGTTTTCAGAGCCCCTTATGATGATTCCGTCTATGCGTCCTCATGAAGCAGAGTTCGGATAGGGTCTGCATAGATCTGCATAGTATAGTCAGGAAATCTGGTATTCAATCTGGACTTGGCCATTCATTCGTCCAAAATGTTGACATGTTGGTGAATATGTTTCTTTAAATGTCGCCAGGTTTTCTTGCGTCTTTGGGTGCTCGGCTTGGAGCTTCGAGCTTGCTGCTTAGGGTTCAGGGCTTAGGACTCTCCTCCTCAAATAATATAGGGGCTTTAATAACTAGAACAGGCTTTTGGGTTATATTCCACCATAATTATAATAAGGAACCACAAAATAGTATTGGTAATTATTTAGGCTTCTATATTATTCAGTTGGGGATACTTTGGGGGCGAGTTTAAAGGTTAGGACAAAACAATCAAACAGAGTTGTAAGGCTAGACTGGCAAACCTCGACTGAGTCGACCTTACTTGGAGGATCAAGGGACTTAGTAACTAGGGTTATAAATAAGGTAACTATAGTTATAACCCCAATTAGGGTACTTATAACCTTACTTACTAAGTCCCATGATCCTCCAAGTACCCGAACTGCTGCACATATTCGTTTCGCAATGCGATCCTGGCCGTCAGCGGTGGAACCTGTACCTTCACCCTCTACACCCAAAAAGGGCCCTAAATCGGAAATCCTAAACCCTAGAGATCCTGGGAACATCAACCATATTTCTCATAAATCCTAAACTCCTAAACCGCCTAAACCCTAAACCCTCAAACCCCAAAACCCCCTGAACCCCAAACCCCCAAACCCTACACCCCTAGGCCCTCAAGCAGAAATCCGCCATGGCCTCGCACTTCTTCTTCATCTCAAGGCCGCGATCCTGGAGCCAAGCACCCCGTGACGTTTCGAGAAGGTATACGTCTCCGACTTAGAGAATCGTCTAGGATTTAGGAATCAGAATCTTTGGGGTTCAGGGTTCCGGGTTTTGGGGTCTAGGGTTCAGGGTTTTGGGTTTTGGGTTCAGGGTTTTGGGTGTTGGGTTCAGGGTTTTTGGGTTCGGGGTTTTGGGTTTTGGGTTCAGGGTTTAGGGCTTTGGGTTCAGGGTTTTGGGATTTATGGTTCAGGGTTTTGGGCTTAGGCTTCGGTTTAGACTTTCGGGTTTGGGGTTCAAACCCTAAGTCCTCAAACCGCCTTAAGATCGCTAAATCCCATAATGAACGGCTCCCTGTCCTTCAGTGCCAACAGCTCCTCCTTCATCACAGCTGCTGCCGACTTCAGTTTCATCTGCCAAGCGCGGAAACTTCGGCAGGGTGTAGGGCAACCCTCAAGCGTCGAATCCTGATTCCTAATTCCGAAACGCATTGTTAATCCTGAATTGTGGCCACATTTGATTGAAGCTGGAGGGTTTCGTTTTTATGGTTCAGGGGTCTGGCTGAAGTCACATCTAGGGTTCAGGGTTTTACGATGGGACGACCACAAAACGCAGGTTACAAAATTGCGGAACTGCGCTCCAGAAGATCAAACAGTGCTTTTCTGAAGTCAGAAAGCCAAGAAGAGAAACAAACAAAACAAAAAACAATAAAAAACGAGATGCTCCGAAACAAGGATTGAAGAGGTCCGGAAGAAGGCCCAAAAGGCCGAAAGGCTCAGTCGTATGAGATGCCTACCTTCTGCTCCTGGGTTTCTCTGACCGGAGGCTAAAACGGTGTAGGGTTTAGGGATTGGGATAACCCCGCATGTGGGT